TATTGTTGGCACATTAAGACATATGCAACTAATCTATAAATTCCCACATAATAGCACTTCCCTGTGGGCAAAAAAAAAAAAAAAAAGGAATATGGGACCAGTCAGAGTAAAACCCCTGTGAGGGGAGAGACTGGGTGTACTCTAAGAGCCCAGGGAGGCCAATATTCCTGGGACAGTGTGAGCAAGGCAGGCAGTCATAAAGATGAAGTCCCTCGCAGGGGTAATAGGATACCTAGGCAGTAAAGGAACTGTCAGCCATTGGAAACACTTTGCTTATTTTATGTGAGATGTGGATATTATGGGAGGATTTTAAGTAAAGATGTGAAATGACTTGACATTTTTAGGGCTTACCCTGCATTTTTCTGTAAAAAATGAAAAGCCACAAGGAGGCCATCTTATATAATGGTGCAAGTTTGAACCAGGCCTGTAGTAGGGGCAGTGGTGGATTGGACTCCACTTCCTTTTGGAGGGAAGTCAACATCGTGTGCTGAGTTAGCCATGGACCATAAGAAGGGGTGTCAGGAAGGCTTTAGGGAATATAATTCTTTGTGTCTGCCTCCTCTCCTAAAATGTACAGTGTGTATTTTCAAAGTAAGTGAAGCCCACAGGCTAGAAAGGCCATAAGCCAGAGGAGACTTTTGGGGTAGTGAAAACAAGGCCAGTAGAAAAGTCTCCTTGATGTTTCTTCCTCTTGGTGTCTACATTTTTGCCTTATCACTGATGAACAAAATGCAAGTCTGTTATCACCCCCAACTCTAGCAGATGTACAGAAACAAACTCCTACCAGTGGGAACAGCACTGAGAGTGTCAGGAAACCAGGTCCTCCTGTAGCTAAACACTGTGCTCACATTTCCTGGAGCCAGAATTGCTTGAGTCCTGACCCCAGGCATTTCCACCCGTCCTGTGACTGCCCCCACATTTGCACAGAGGCAGAGTCAGTTTAAAACACATTCCTGCAACTGATGATCACCACAAGTTCGAGGCCAGCCTGGGCTACACAGTGAGCTCAAGGCCAGCCTGAATTACATATCAAGACTGGGTCTCGGGCTGGGGAAATAGCTCTCAGTGGCCTGGTAAGTGCAAGGTCCCGAGTTCAGTCCCAGTACCAAAGGGGTTGGGGAGACTGTGCTTCAAGAGAAAGAAAAGGAGTAACAGGAAAGGAAGAAATTAAATCACCATTATTTGCAGATGATGTAATACTCTGTAGAAGACCCCAAAAACTACTAAAAAATTCTAGATTTAATAAGCAAATTCAGTAGTGTAGCCAGATACAAAATCAATCCAATTGTCTTCCAATACACAAGTTAACAAACTCATAGAGATATTAGGCAAACCACACCTTTCACAGTAGTGTCTAAAAATTTGAAATACCTAGAAATCAATCTAATCAAGGATGTAAAAGATGTCTACATTGAAAACTATAGCACCCTAAAAAAGGAAATTGAAAATGAATTTTTTTTTTTTTTTTTTTTTTTTTAATTGGGAATTGAACTCACTACCTTGTGCTTGCCAGGTAAGCAGGTACTTGTACCACTGAGCTATATCCCCAGCCCAGAAATTGAAGTGGATATCAGAAAATGGAAAGGTAGGGCCCTGGAGATAGCTCAGTGGACTAAGTGCCTGCCTAAGCAAGTACTGGGACCCACGTTCAATCCCCGGGACCACATGCTGCTCTGGCCCTCCCCCCGGGCAGGCTGAACCTGCCACCCAGACCAGGCATGGTGCCACATGCCTGTAATCCCAGCACTGGGGAGGCTGAAAATAGGATCACTATCAGTCCAAGCTATGTAGCTAAACCCTGTACCAAATACATTTTTTAAAAAAGAAAAGAAAATGGAAAGGTATCCTTTGTTCTTGGGTAGGAAGAACCAATGTAGTGGAAAAGGCCATACTTCCAAAACTGTTATACAAATATAATACAACTCCATCAAAATTCCAATCATGTGTCTCACAGAATTAGAGAAAACAATCCTAAAATTCATTTGGGACTAGAAGAGATATAGAATATCCTATTCAGTTCAGAGCAACAAAGGTAAGACGGGGGCATCACAATCCTGACTTGAGATTATTCTATAAAGCTACTATGATAAAAACAGCATGTTACTGGCAAAAAATACAGATCTAAAGATCAATGGAACAGTTCAGAAGATACAGAAAGAACTCCAGACATAATTAGCCACTTTATCTTTGAAAAAGATGCCAGACACATTCACTGGAAGAAAAATGGCTTCTTTAATAAATGGGACTGAAAACACTGGCTCTCCACATGCCAAAGATTAAAAAAGGACCCATATCTTTCACCATGTACTAAACCAAACTTGAAATGGATGAAGAATCAAAATATTAAAGCAAGGGGCCTGCAAGATAGCTGAGTGGTCTAAAGCACCTACTGAGGCAAAGCTGAGGGACTACAGTTCAATCCCCAGCACCTGTGCCAGCCCTGCCTTCAGGCTGGGCTAAGCTGGCCACAAAAATAAATAAAAAAATAAATATTAAAGCAGAAACATTAAATCTGCTAGAAGACAGAATAGGTAAAATTGTTGAAAACATTGGTGTAGACAGACTTTATGGGTAAAACCCTGATTACACAGGAACTGTCATAAAGAATCAACAACTGACAATCTCAAATTGTTAAAAAGCTTATGCACAGCAAGAGAACCCTCTGACAGAATGAAGAGAGAACAATGTGAGAAAGTATGTTTGCCAACTGTTTCTCAAACAGGATTACTATCAAGAGCATACAAAGAACTCAAAAAAATAGGACCTGCCAAATTTAAAGGCCCCAGGGGTCAAGGAGATGGCTCAGTAGAATAAGCACTTGCCTGGCAAGCACAAGGGCTTGAGTTCAATCCTCTGTACCGCCAAAAAAAAAAAAAAAGAAAAAATTCAAATTTAAAGGCCTCATCCAAAAATTGGCATCTGAGACAAATACATCTCAGATGAAGAAATACAACAAATAAATACTTGAGAAGGTGTTCAATCACTGGTCATTCAAGAGATGAAAATTAAAACAACACTGAGATTTCATCTCACTCCAGCAAGGATAGCTATTATCAAGAAATCAGTAAGAAATGCTGATGGGGCTGTGGGGAAAAAGGAACCCTTCCACTGTTGGTGGGAGGGTAGACCAGTGCAGCTGCTGTGGAAATCAGTGTGGACATTCCTCAAAAATCTAGGATCAGAGGTGTCCCATTTGACCCAACTATTCCCCTTGTGACTATCCACCCAGATGAAATAAAAGTACAGCATTGTGTTACCAATGTGGACCTTGGCATCCTTTCCATCCTTTTTTTCTGCCCACCATAGGGTTGGCTTTTCCTCTTTGAGTCTATTATTTTGTGGTTCTAGGATAGCAGCTGTAATTGTGTAATTGTAGCCATCATGCTGAGTTCTGAATGGAAATAAGAACAAGGATAGAGCCTGAATGACTGTGAGCCACTATGCACTTAAGACATGGGGTGCTACTTCTAAAGCGTGAGCAGTGTTCGTTTCTCTCCCTAAAGTATAAATGCCATGGCTGTCCTATTCCTTCTTTAGGTCTCCAACCATCCGGGACATGGTGATCCGCTGCATTGCCCAGATGGTGAATTCCCAGGCAGCTAACATCCGCTCAGGCTGGAAGAACATCTTTGCTGTGTTCCACCAGGCAGCCTCTGATCATGATGGAAACATCGTGGAGCTGGCCTTCCAGAGCACAGGCCACATTGTTAGTAAGTGCCTCTGTCCCTTCTTGCACGTGACCACTTACTTGTCTGTTTTACTACCTATGGGCACTTTTTTGCCTCAGTTCTGCTGAGCTTGATGTGACAGGCAGTATTCTAAACATTTGGCATATATTATTTACAACATTATGAAAGAGATATATTCAGTAGTTATCATTACTAGCAGGCTCCACGTTTCTGAATCCACCAACTCACCAAAATGTGTATGTAACCCCAAACTCACTATTTATATGCTTTTGTAGTCATTCGCCAGCATGTGTCAGTCATTTTTTACTGCTGGAACAAAGTACCTACCACCCTCACCTTAAAGGAGGAGAGGTTTGGCTTAAAGTTTTCATGGGTTCAGTCTATAGTTATGTAGCTGTGAGATAAAGACAGCATGATGGAAAGGGATGGTAGAAGACAGCTGCTCACCTGTGGCATCCGGGAAGCAGGAGAAGAGCTGGGAGCAAGAATACACCCTTTCAGGTCACCTCCCCACTGACCCACCTTTTCAAACGAGGTTTCACTTCCCAATAGTACATTTAGCAATGAATCATTTTGCCCCTCAGATGTAATTACCTTCAAGAAGCCCCACTTCTGAATACATGAGGCTTTTGAGAGACGTTTTAGGTCCAGACCTAACATGATGCATATACAGAGCAGTAAAACGTTAGATCACACAGTTCTAATTGAGGAGAAACAAGATGTTCTGCCTTATTTCAGCTCTTATACCACAGACAGGTGTCCTTTCTGTAGTCTTTTACATGCCACACTTTGTATGCTTTTTGTTGCTAATTTACTCTTTGAAATGGCCTCCAAGAGTAGAGCCTCATTGCTGGCCAGTGCCTCTGGGTACTGACAGGCACAGGCGGGGGTGTGTCTTGGGGGAAAGTGTATGTGAGATGAGCTGCCTTCAGACATACATGGAGGGCTGATGGCTGTAAGTTCCGTGTAAATGCATCAACAGTACCATTGCATAAGGTGCTTTGAAGAGCAGCACACCTACAACAAACTTATATACTGATCGTTGATACAAATGTGACCAGAGGCTCATAGGAACTTCATAATTTTCCCGAACAGCAGAGGTTTAATATTCTGTGACTCGATTTTTGTTGCAACTGTAAAGATCATAACTACTACAAAACAAATCACATAATTTGTAGCAAGAGCAATTTGTACCATTGCTGTTATTTCTCCATTTTACCAAAGAGGAAATTGATGCACAGAAAAGAACAACTTGCCTTAGATCACACAGCTCTAAAGTGGGGAGTCTGGATTTGTACCCAGAAAGTGCAGCCCAGAGTACGTGCAGCGTCCTCCACCCTGGACTGACCAGGACCCCCTGGGCCTGCCATTGGTCATGTGATACGATACTCACTTGGTCTTCAGGGAAATTGCAGGGCCCTGGGTCACTTTGAACATGGTTGGCACTCAAGAAATGTTGAATGAATGGATATTTGGGCCTTTACATCACTGCTTGAGTTCACAAGATTAGTTTAGCCTAAGATATACTCAGTGCGTTCATTCCTGAATAATTTAGTAAGAAAAACTGTCTTCAAAAATATTGACATGAGAGCCGGCCAAATAGCTCAGCAAATTAAAGCGCCTGCAAGCAGGTGCAGGGGCCAGGGGTTCAATCCCCAGGCCTGCCGTGCCGACCCCCCCTGGGGGCGCACTGAGAGGGCAGTTGAGACTGGGCGTGGTGGTGCACGCCCGTAATCCCAGCTCTTGGGAGCCTGTAAATGAGCAGATCATTATGAGTCTGATCTAGTAGTGACTCCCTGAACACCCTGTAGACTCCTCCCTTAAAAAAAAAAAAAAAAAAAAAAAAAAAATTGACATTATGGTGTGCACCTATAATCCCAGTGCTTGGGAAGCCAAGGCAGAAGACTGCTGTAAGCCCAAGGCCAGCTTGAACTGCATAACAAGACCCTGTCTCAAAAAGACCAAAAAATTATATGCTTTCCTGAGATTTCCAATAAGTAGTCATGTGTGCTATGTGTCTGTCTTTTAATCTCCCTTTCTACATCCTTGTCTTACAAAAAATGTGCTTTGTGTTTTCTCAGCAAGTATCTTCCAGCACCATTTCCCTGCAGCCATCGATTCCTTTCAGGATGCTGTGAGGTGTTTATCAGAGTTTGCCTGCAATGCTGCTTTCCCGGACACCAGCATGGAGGCCATCCGGCTCATCCGCTTCTGTGGGAAATACGTCTCTGAGAGGCCTCGGGTGCGTTTACCCCCGTGCTCATGGTATGGAGGGGAAAGAGTCATGGGGAAAACCTTTCCTCCTAGCAATGAGCTTTCTAGCCCATCTTTTAGAAATGTGTCTTTCCCCTACACTGGATGTTTATTTCAAATGTTGCCTTTTCAGAATTATGCTCTTTTGTTATTTTATGTATATATAATTGTTTATTTATAGTCAACTTCTTTTTACAGCATTCTAAAATTTTTTCTTGTAGAAGATGATAGTATTTTAGCTTTTGGTTTTTGACAGAGCTCAAGGAGGTAGGCCTTTTTAATTTTTTTTAAAAATTCATTTATTTATTTATTTATTTATTTATTTATTGGTACCGGGTCTCTCTATGCAGTTCGGACTCATAGTGATCCTCTTACCTCAGCCTCCCCAGTGCTAAGATTACAGGTGTGTTCCACCACACCTGGTTTCTATGGGCAGAATGGCATGCCTGGGGTTCTGGGGCTGGCATGGCATGCGGTACCAGGGACAGAACGAGGTCATTGCACTTAGCAGGCAGGCTTTTAGACTGCTGAGCTATTTCCCTAGCCCTAGGCCTTTGTTTTGAAAGAAAATATACCTACCTTTTAGGAAATGGCATGGCTTTGTGACATGCCTAAGAAACACACTCCAAGGAGATTGAGTGTGTAGCTCAGTAGCAGAGAATGTGCTTAACATGTACAAGATTTTGGTTCCATCTCCAGCAACCACAGCCACTAAAAATAATCATCCTGTTTTCTCCTGAAAAATAGGATTTTTCTGTTTGTCTCATCTTTCTGAACTGCTTAGCTTAGGCCAGGGAGATGGCTCAGTGGAATAAGTACTTCCCTGGCAAGCGCAAGGATCTGAGTTCAATCCCTGGTTCCGCCAAAAAAAAAAAAAAAAAAAAAAAAAAGATGAACTGCTTAGCTTAAGCAACAGTTCCGAAACACTGAAATTGGGCAGAAAAAAGTATCCCTAAACTCTGATGACTGGCACATACTTCTTCAGCATTCTTTACACAGAATACTTTCTGATGCTATATTTGTCTGGTCTCTATAAGAGCTCATTGAGATGTGATGAGAATGAGAAACAACATTGAGCATTTAGTCCTTGTCAGGCACCATTCTAGGTATTTCGTATGTGTTGATTCATTTAGTCCTACATCTAACCTGTGAAATGATTATATCCCATCCATAGGGAAGTCACCTGAAGTACAGAGAGAAATTGCCTCATGTTAGAGAACCAGACTTGGTAGAGAAATTCCAGTTCCATTTCAAGAACAGTTATGGAGCAGAGGGGTCATATTTCAGAGGTAGTACAGAGTAGGGTTTCATAGCCAGAATTTTGGAAAGTTTGCCAGATCTGACTGCATGACCTTGGACAGTTTACTTGAGCTCTTAGTGACCTAGTTAACTCATTCATAAAATGGGACCATAATTCTACTTTCCTCTTGGAGTTGTGAGAACTATTAATCCATAAGAAGCACTTGTACGGTTCCTGGCCCATTGCAAGCAGGCAGCATATATACTAGTTGCTGTTATTACTTTTATTACTTTTAAGTATTATGCATTACAGAAAGATTCCAGAAAAATCTTAGGTATTGAGTCACCCTAGATGTCTTACTCACATCAGTTGACTTCCTCAATGTAACACCTCCTACGCCCAGGACTCTTGTGATCTGCCTCATTCAGTGTCATCTTAAACTCAAAGGTTCTTATGGGGAAGCTGTTCCAGGACCTTTTGCACAGGTGATTGTCTCCCTGTCTCTGTGGGATTTCCTGTTGTACCTGCTGAATAATGAATTGAGGGAAAGAAAACAGGTGAGGCCTCAGTCTTTGCATAATTCTTTAAGTTCTCTCCTCTGAGCTATGACTTTTATCATAGGTGCTACAAGAATACACCAGTGATGATATGAATGTAGCTCCTGGCGACAGAGTCTGGGTCCGAGGCTGGTTCCCCATCCTATTTGAGCTGTCTCGCATCATTAACAGATGCAAGTTAGATGTACGGACAAGGTAACCAGGACTCCACTGTGCTGGCCTCTTAATATCACTGAAATATGACTCGGCTCCTACTCTCTGACTTCATTCTCTTCCCTACCCATTCTTTCTTCTGTGCCTGACTTGTTTTTCCTAGAGGACTCACGGTAATGTTTGAAATCATGAAGAGCTATGGCCATACCTTTGAAAAGCACTGGTGGCAGGACCTGTTCAGAATTGTGTTTCGGATTTTTGACAATATGAAGCTTCCTGAACAACAGTCAGAGGTAGGTGATAATTGTAGCATTGCCTCAATATGCACATGAGGGCTGGGGAGATAGCTCAGTAGAGGGCCTGAGTTCAACCCCTGGTTCTGGAGGCGGGGGGAAAATATATATATATATATATAGAGAGAGAGAGAGAGACAGACAGACAGACAGACAGACAGACAGACAGGAGAGGGCTGAAGGTTGTCTGTTGTCATCTACCCAGAAGTCTGAATTTCTAGCTATTGGATGTATTTTGAAAATGCAAACATCTTCTTGGCCTTCCTGTAGTTTAGGCACTGCACATCTGCCACAGAGAGAGGTGAAGTCATGTAGTCTGCTCACTTGGTCCTCTGACTGCTTGCCAGTTCAGCAAGCTGGTGATCTTAGCTGTTGCTATTGTAGACTTCTGGATTATCAGTAGAGAGTGAGAAGTCTCTCACCCCACAAAGGCTGGACAAAAGTTAGAGCTCGAGATGCTGTTGCACATAGGAGACTTTGGGGGCAGAGGTATTTGCTACTTGAAGGTGTTTTTGTTATCTGTCCTCTAGAGGTAAAAGGTGAGGAGAGAATATGGAGTTTTCTAGTCTTAAAATAGTTTTTCTCTGGACATGGTGGTACACACATGTAATCATAACACACTGATTGGGAGGCTGAGGCAGGGGGATCACAAGTTTGTGCCTACTCTGGGCAACTTAGTGGGATGCCATCTCAAAATGAAAAATGAGGATAGGGATGTAGCCCTTTGCAGAGGTCTTGGATTAAGTGTCCAGTGTGGCAGTAAATGATACTTTCCTTATAAGTGAATACACATTCTTTACAGAAAACAGACAAAAGCAAAGGAAAAATTCAAATACCGGGGGCCTGCCCCATAGCTCAGTTCTTTAAGTGGCTGCTTCAACAAAGCAGTCAGGCTCAGGTTGCTGTGGTTCAATCCCCACAGCTCAAGCCAGCCAAACCTGCCCTGAAGGCATTTGGAGCAAAACAATAAATAAAATAAAAAATTCAAATACCCACAGTCCCATCTTCTGTGGACAACCACTGTTAACTCCTTCAGGTTCCATGTGGGTAGGTGACAGTTTTTCCCTGTGTGGAAAACTGGAATGCCAGGGGCCGGGGAGATGGCTCAGTGGAATAAATGCTTCCCTGGCAAGCACAAGGGCCTGAGTTCAATCCCTGGTTCCGCAAAAAGAAAAAAGTTGGAAAAAAAAAAAAAAAAAAAAAAAAAAAAGAAGGAAAACTGGAATCCCTATGAGCACTGCTCTTTAAACAATGCACAAGTGGTTTTGCACAACTAACTTTTCTTCTGCAGTTTTTAATGACTGCAAAATATTCCTGATTGTGGGTGTTTCAGAGTCTGTAGTCATTTAGGTGGCTTAAGTTTTTCTTTCTTGAAATAGCACTAAAGTGAACATTTTTTGTAGCTACACTTTTCCTTGTGCTCTTCACTTCTTTTTGCCATACATAGAACAGATACCCCTGACTGTCAAGTTGGGCTTGCCTGTTCCTGAACTTTCTGATACAGGCTTCTAGGTTACCCCAAAGATAAATTGAGTCCTATGCTTCTGTCAGCAAACTGTAAGGTCTTTTGTTTCTCCATGTCCACTCCAGCTCTTTGTGTATATTAATTTGTTCAATCACTCTTTTTTTTTTTTTTTTTAAAGACTCATGGAAATTTATTTCCTGAACACTAACATTATCAGCTCATTGCCCCAAGCTGGTGAGCTGGCTCCAGCACACCAGGAGGAATAGGGGATAAGTGACAACACTGCACAAGAAGTTAAATAAAGTTGGAGACATTGCAATCTCTTCATACAGTGTGACACACAAAGCTACCACCTGGCTCCATGGTCTTTTTAAAATTTTTTTTTAGTAGGAATCAAACTCAGGACCTTACATTGCCAGGCTGAGCTATCTCCCCAGCTTGGCTCCCCAGTCTTGGGTTTACTTTTTTGACATGGTCTGTAGTGGTCAACAGATTGTCTCATCTTGGTTGGATTGCCTCGGCAGTTCCACTCTGGGCTGTGGAGGCCCCTGCCCCAGAGTAACTCAGCACTAAAAGGGGTTTTCAAGGGGTTGAAGAAGGATTTTACATTTCACTTCCTCAGAAGAACTTCCATCTTGGTAGTCATCTGGCTATAGTGCAGACTCTTCAGCCTCTTGCTTGGATTGTTTAGCTTTTTGTTGCAGACTTTTCATCTTCTGTCAGAGACCCACAACCAACTGATAGACACTTGCACAGAATCACTGCAGTGAGCTTAAGACCTTAGGACTGAATCCTTCGGTCTTGGTGTGCAGATGCCCTCTGTACGCTTCCTCATCCGACTGACTGCTACGTCTTGTTATATCTGTTCTTTGTATTATACCTGCTCCTCTAGTAAAACCCTAATACAGGGTCTCACTACTTAGTCCAGGCTGCCTTTGAACTTACTCTGTAGCCCTGGCTGGCCTGGAACTCAGGGTGATCTTTTTGCTTCAGCTCCTGAGTGCTGAGATCACACCTGGCTTTCTTGGGTTTATTTCAAAGTGCCTAGCTGAGCAAGAAGAAGCAGATGAAGAGAAAGGAACTATGTCCACTAACAGATTCCCCTGTGGATGGCTGAGCTCGGCTATGGTGCAGTGTGCACGTTTTCTTGTCTTCCTCAATGGCAGATAATACTGACATGGAAAATATTAAGTAAAAGGGACACTAATTCCAGGACTTACAGAAGACTTGAGAGCCAGTTCACATGACAGAACAACCATCCGTGAATAGCACAGACCTGTCTATGCAAAGGGTGGCGGCAGCAGGATGGAGAAGGTGGGGGACTGGCAAGTGAGGATGCAGCAGGAAGATCGGGTGAGGGTGAGGGCTACTCGGGTCTAGGGGCAGGTAGCTAAGGTTCCAAAGGGGGAAAGCATTCACAGCCCTGCAAATGTCTCTCAAGATAAGCATTCATAAATCCATAAAAGATAATTTATTTGAGCTAATAAGAGGTCAGATCAAGATCTGTGTGAGGGATAGATAGGAAGGACAGGGGTTAAATGCAAACTCTGCACATTACTCTGGAACTCTACCCGGAATCTTTCCAGCATTGCCACAGAGAGCTACAGCCCCTTCACTTTATTCTTCCTTCTTTTTTTTTTTTTTTTTTGAGACAGGGACTTGCTACACAGTTCAGGCTAGCCTTGAACTCACTATGTAGTGCAAGCTGGTCTTGAACTCTCTATGATCCTCCTGCCTCAGCCTCCCAAGTGCTGAGATTATAGACGTGCACCACATGTGGCCTTATTCTTTACTATGTACATCATGCAAAGCATACTGCTTCACATCATATCTATTTCATACACCAAAATGTTTCTTCCTCTTAAATCATTTGTATGTCTTTAGATTTTATGGCATGCTCCTGAAGCCTGCCTGATCTAAAGAACATTAAGGAGCTTCCGATCCAGTCGTGGTTTCTTAAGACGACTATGTACTCACAAGCTGAGGTTATGGGTGATAGTGAGAGCTGCAGCTCAGGAGAGGACACTGGAGAAGGGAGGTGAAAAGGCCCCGCCAGAACAAACTGTCACTTGTCCCGAATGCTAGTCTGAGTCCAAGAGCCCTGACCAGGAGGGTCTTTTCACCGTGGCAGCTTCCATGATCTTCAGGGACACCTCTATGGAGAATGTGTCGTGCTGCGTCCACAGCTTGCTCCTTGGCCAGTAGAAGGAAATGGGGATTTCCTGGCAGCTCCCTCTAACCCAATTTGGCTTTTTTTTCATGGTTGCAGTATTCGTGGGACTTACTGGACTATTTATCGCTTGGCAGCTATGTAGAAAATGTGTAAAGAAAAAGAGATAGGATGAAAGGGGTCCCATAGAATTGAATGAAGCTCCATCACTCGCAGTTGAAGTGACTCTGGATGGAGACACGGCCCACCCCCACCTCAGTCTGTTTGAGGATTCAAAATCTATTCGACTAGAAGGTTTTTTCAGAACCTCCCTGAAAATCCAGAAAGATTTGACTCCTGGCCCTGTGTATTGGGCAAGAATCACATCACCCTGGAAAGTCACTCCTGGGAGATGGAGGTGGGAGACAGGACTGACTGGTTGCTTGGGGTGTGCAGGGAAAATGTGATAAAGAAAGGGTTCATCCTCATGTCTCCCATAAATGGCTTCTGGATTGTGGAGTGTTCTGAAAAGGGGTGCTGGGCCCTTGCCTCACTCTGGTCCTTCTTACAGTGCCAAAAACTCCTCATTGGATTGGGATTTTTGTAGACTATAAATCAGGAGCTGTCTGTTTCTACAGCGTGAATGATGGATCCCATATCTACTCATTCACCAACATCTCTTTCTCTGGCACCCTTTGTCCTATATTCTGCTTGTGGTCTTGTGGTGATTAACCCCTGACCATCTGTGCGATTAAAATTGATAGATCTGAGGAGGTCACAGTCTGTGTGATGCCCAGACCCATCAATCACCCTTGATTGACAGGCCAAAAACATCGCACTAAAAGGTTTTACTTGGTTGTTAGTAAGGTTGCAGACTTTCCCTCACTGATAATTGTGTTGCTTCTCATAATTTCATGTTAATGTTGAACGACTAATATTTTATCACATGGATATACCTCATCTAATGCCCACATTGTTGGACGTTACATTGTATATATGTTTTCACTGTACAAATGTGATTGTGGTAAACACTTTCTTCATAAACTTTTCTCACACTTTTATTTATTTAGAATGGATTCCTGCCGGGGAGACGGCTCAGTGGAATGAGCGCTTGCCTGGCAAGCACAAGGGCCTGAGTTCGATCCCTGGTTCCACAAAAAAATAAATAAATAGAATGGATTCCTACGGACAGCCAGATAACTCAGCAGATTAAAGCACCTGTTTAGGCAGATGCAAACGCCTGGGGTTCAATCCCCGGCATACTGTGCTGGCCCACCACCAGGGCATAGCGATTGAGACTGGGCGTGGTGGTACGCGCCTGTAATCCCAGCACTTGGGAGGCTGAAAACAGGTGAATCACTATACGTCTGATCTGTGTGGTGAGACCCTATAGACCCAGAACTAAATATGTTTAAAAAAAAAAAAAAAGAATGGATTCCTGGTAGTAGTGTTGCTGAGTCATTGGATGTGGACTAATTGATACTTAGTGCCAATTTGTGTTTCTCTTAGTAAACAGTTTTGCCAGTAGTGTACAGAGAAAGTGGTTCTTAAGAATTATTGTTTTGTTTTTCCAGAAGTCTGAGTGGATGACCACAACCTGCAACCATGCACTTTATGCCATTTGTGATGTTTTTACCCAGTTTTATGAAGCTTTGAATGAAGTGCTTCTTTCTGATGTATTTGCACAGTTGCAGTGGTGTGTTAAGCAAGGTATTCCTTAAGTCTTTAAGTATTATTTTTCTTATATAGTATTAACAAGAGTTTAATTTTATCTATAAAGCCATGAACATAAACTAAAGATAGATTATTTATTTAATTTTGGGTACCAAGAAGCAAACTCAGGACCTTGCACTTGCCAGGTAGGTACTGTGCTACTGAGCTATATCCCAAGCCTACATCATGGGTTTAAACGGTGAAAATGTATATTTTTAAATTTAATTGGAAAAACAAAGAAACAACAGCAAAAACTAGCAGGGCATGGTGGCACATGCCTGTAATCCTAGTACTTGGGAGGCTGAGGCAGGAGGATTGCTGTGAGTTTGAGGTCAACCTGGGCTTCAAAGTGAGTTAAAGGCCTGCATAATGGGACTGTCTCAAAAAATAAATAAATACAAAATAAAAGCTCAGTGTAGTAGCATGCACCTGAATCCTAGCACTTGGGAGACTAACGAGGGAAGATTGCCATGAGTTCAAGGCCAGCCTAGACTGCATAGCAAAACCCTGTCTCCAAAAAAAAGCCAGGCATGGTGTTGCACACGTTTAATCCCAGCACTCCTGAGGCTGAGGTAGGATTGCTGTGAGTTCAAGGACAGCTTCAACTACATCCCAAGACCCTGTCTCAACAAATAAATTAAGTAAATAAATTTGGAGCATAAGAACAACACTTCTCAGTTTATAAAGTACTTCTTTAAGACAGAATGCATTTATATTTTTTTAAATGTACCCTTGTGCATTATACCATCTACTTTTATATGTTTGAAATTTTATGTAGTAGAATTTGTTAAAATGTACATTTGGAGCCAAGCAGTAGGCAGTTTTTTGCTGGAGTAGTGTGTGGGAAAGGACAGGTAACTAGTGGAGCAGATCTGGATTCTATAGAATTTTGACTTTGAGCTAGACTGAATTCACTTATGATTCAGATTTAAAACAAGTGATATAACAGTTAATGCTAGATGAAAAAATTGGTAATGTAGTATGTGGGTAAATTTTTAGCAACACTGGTAAAACATTTTCTATCCTGTTCTAACTTTTTCTCATGTATGAGCCAATTAAAGGAACAAAATATTGACCTTGTATCCTTAGCATGAAAACTGTGGTAGGGCCGGGGAGATGGCTCAGTGGAATAAGCGCTTCCCTGGCAAGCGCAAGGGTCTGAGTTCAATCCCCAGTTCCGAAAAAAAAAAAAAAAAAAAAAAAAAAAACTGTGGTAAAGCATTTTATCTCTTAATAACATATTAATCTATAAAACTCTTAATGTTGTCTGTAGCCTTACTTCCTTAATTAGAAGCCTTTAGTTGTAGTCTCCACCCTACAATAAATAGTGTCTGGGTCCTGGTTTGTATCCAAACAGCAGTTCAGATTTAATGACAAAAACTCTTGCATTAATTTGCAGATAATGAACAGTTGGCTCGATCAGGTACAAATTGCCTAGAAAATTTAGTAATATCCAATGGAGAGAAATTCAGTCCCGATGTCTGGGGTGAAACGTGCAACTGTATGTTGGATATTTTCAAAACCACCATCCCACATGTGTAAGTGTTGGTGCTGTGGTTATTGCTTACCTTGTGTGCTGAGATGTCTTAAAGTGCCTCACTGCTTTTTGTGGTGATCACTTTCCTTTTCTTCTATTCCCTAAGTTTGCTGACATGGAGACCTGTGGGAATGGAGGAAGAGTCATCGGAAAAACATTTGGTAGGGCATTTGTGTTTGTTTGGGCTTTCTTTTTCTTATTCTAATAAAAGCTCAGTAATCCTATGCAGCTTGTACTTTCATGATGGGAAGTCAATAAAAACTGTTACAAGATCTAGGGGAGTCTCTTCAGCCAATGAAAAGCAGTTTGAGTTTCTGGCTTTTTCTTTGTCTGTGTATACCAGGTAGACCCCACATAACTGAAATGAGGGGCTGCTTGGCATGTACTATATTAACATTGTGCATGTTTTTCTGAATTTTTAATATTCTTTGTAAAAAGGCTTTTTAATAGCTGCACAATTAGTGTAATCTTTTTAACTGTCCCTAGGAAGGAGTCTTAGGCTGGTTCTAGTATTTCACTGTTACAAATAGCACCTTACTGCTGGCTGTCCTTGCTGTGGCTCTCCTAGGTTACCAGTGCTCTCCACACTGCTGTAAATGGTTCTTACTTTCTTGTATTGCCATGTAAAGAAGCCCTAAATTCAAACCTCATTATAGAAGGCTAAGGGCTGGGAAGATAGCTCAGTAGAGTAAGTGCCTGCCTGGCAAGTGCAGGGTCCTCAGTTCAATCCCCAGTAGTGCAAAAAATAAAAAAAATAAATAATAATTGATTTAATAATAGAAGACTTAGTTTTCCTGGGCCAGGGGGAGGGAGGTGGGAGCCTGGGCTGAACTATGAATTTGTATTTCCAAATAACTCTTAAGACTGGTAGATCTTAAAAGATATTTGGGATACAACTTGAAAGTAAAACACATTATTTAAACATTTTCTGTTTTTTAACTCTTTGGCTATCAAAAAGAAAAGAAAAGTAGCCACTATAGTCCCCTTTTTTAAGAAACTGGCAGTTGAACCCTGGGTACTATACCTCTAGGCTACATCTCCAGCCCTTTTCACTAAGTTGTCCAAGCTGAACTCAAACTTCTCCATTCCTCTGCCCCAGCCTCCTGAGTAGCTAGAATTACGGGAGTGAACACCAGGCCTAGCACTTCTGATTTACATTTGAATCCTATAGAAAAGTTGTTACAGGACCAGCCAGCTAGCTCAGCGGATTAAAGCGCCTGCTTAGGCAGACACAAGGACGCGAGGTTTGATCCTCGGCCTGAAGCACCTGCTTAAGACACAGGGACCAGGGTACAGTTCCTTAGCCCTCCATGCAGGCCCCCGCCCCTGGAGTGTGCTGAGATGGGGATTGAGACTGTGTGTGGTGGCATGTGGCTGTAATCCCAGTGCTTGGGAGGCTGAGCACAGGAGGATCACTACGAGTCTGACCTACATAGCGAGACTCTGTACACCCTGCACTAAATACATTAAAAAAAAATTATTACACTCATGGTTACATTATAATGTGTAGAGAAATGCCCTGAGTTTTTGTAGGAGAATGTGAAGTTTTAATGAGGAAAGGGCATAAATGAAATCATACCCCCCACACACACATGCTGTGCATAGCCTTCGGGATATCCACTTTCCTTAGCTGAACAAGGCACTGAAGCCGAGCTAGCACAGGTAAGAGTCCTATCTCTGCCTGGGCACCCAACTGTGGATGAAGAAAGATAAGCTTTGTATTTTTCTCTGCTTTACACTTAGGATGTGGACCTGGACCGCCAATCTCTAAGCAGCATAGATAAAAATGCCTCAGAGAGGGGCCAGAGCCAGCTCTCTAACCCGACCGATGACAGCTGGAAGGGTAGACCATATGCAAGTAAGGCCACTTTTATTTTCAGTTTATTTCATATGTTTATTATTCAAGTAGGTTGTACATTTTCGCTGTTCAGATGTTGAGAACGCAGCACAAGGGTGAGCAGGGTGAGCTTGCTTTCCCTGCTGTGCCACATCCTGCCTGTGCCTTTCCTTTGTCAGCAGTGTTGTTGGTTTCTTGTGTGTCTTCCTGGAATCATCTGTGTGCCAGAAAATACACACATGTGTGCAGTTCATTTATGGTATTAGCTTTCTGCCATTGCAACAGCTCTGCTTTGTATAACAATACATATGTCATTGGTTAGTTTATTTAGGAAGTTCCTAGAAATTAAATCATAGAATCAATGAGTAGGGACATTTGCCATTTAACAGATGTTTCCACATTTCTATTGATTATTTTGCACCTGTTTACATGATCTTTGGCAACACCTAGATGAAATTTGTTGTCCAATTTTTTAAATTTATTATTATTATTATTATT